TCTCTTTCTCTCTCTTTTTCTCTCGGTCCTCTTTCTTAATGCACCTCTTCTGTCTCCTCCTCGTCGTCTTTGAGCCACACCGCCGACGACGGTTAAACGAACTTTTTAACGGCGAAAGTATCGAAGTGCATTCGATTAGGCGCCATTTCGAGCCAACGAAATTGTGTTTCTATCAGTTGCGACCGTTCATAAATTTTCACGCTTTCGTCCTCTTTTATCTCGAGGGTTACTTTGCCGAATTTATTTACGACCTCCCTTCTCTCTTTCTCCCTCCCTCGAAGTACCGCCATAAATTATACCCCGTTTTAATTGAAATAATATTAAAATCGTGTAAAATAGTATTAGAATCACATTCACTTAAATATTCGACAGTTAATAGAAGAAATTAATGGAGGAAGAGCCTATCTGAAAGCACGCTTCTCGAGTACTCCTGAAGGAGCCAGGAAACACACCTTGATTTATGCGTGAATGTTTAAGTGCCGCGACGATCCTCTTCCCTCAGTCGTGGCCGTTCCGTGATTATCGTCGGAAATCTCGGCGAGATCTACGATATCCCTACGAAGGAGTGTTCCACGACCCTCGACAAATTGAATGAAATCGCTCCAACCTGTTTCATCACGGGGGCCCGACGGTATTCGACCACCCGTAATTATCGTGACGTAGGTCCGGGACCTCGTGATGTTGACGGACGGGCGAGGATATGATTTAAAAACTTGCTATCGGCACTTTCTTCCGAAACTTTCATATTTTTTACTCTGACGTTTTACTCTGTCTCATTTCGTACGCAAATTTTAGCAATGGCTAACGTGATACTTGGGCGATTAATCAGAAGTGCAAAGAGGAAGAACATATATGAACGAATCAAAATAATTTTAAATATTTTATATTAATTCTTGAAATTATGTTCTTTTTCTTTTATAAATATATATTGTATATGTATATACGAATTAACTCTATAATAAATACCTAGAAGTGATCTTTTTTAAATAAAACTATAGAAAAAAATCAGAGGTGGCTGTGTTATTTCAATCGCCTTCATATACCGTCCCGTGAGTCCCGTCTCAAGAATGACCTCAGGAGTTTTTAAATACTGGACGGGTTTAGCGAACCCGCGAGCTTTGTTTCGACGCCAGATTTACATCCCCGCTAATGGAATCGTCTTCGTCGGGAGAATTTCAAGCGCTCGATGCACCGTGCTTTAAATTACAGGAGGAAAGGAGCGTAGCATGCACGCGTGTGCGTGATGTATAATACGATCGTGTCGATGGGTACGAGGCGAGAAAACGTGGGCACGGTTTTCGTTACGGTTTCGACGAGAACCAGACGCGCTTGTTCTAGGGCCTAACTCTCGGTTACAGGCTACTATTCTTTATGAAGTATCGTAGTAGAAACTGAAGGAAGGAGAGAGAGAAAGAGAGAGAGAAAGAGACCATGCTCGGGTCGATTTATAGCAGTCTGCGCCCGCGTGCCGATTCGAAAAGAACAAATGTTTACCATAGTGCGACGCGCTCGCGTTATTTTATGGTAGCTTTTATGAACTGGTTTGCTAATTTTTAAGCGTCCCTACATTTGTATAGATTTGGTTTGAACAACCTTTTGTCGATCATTCCTAAATCTATTTAAAAATAATTTCGTGATCGAGAAAAATAAGACAGATTAGACAAAATATCTTGAAACGACGGCGATACGTGTGTCTCGTGAGATAAGTTTAAGGACGTCGTTCTATGAAAATCTTGTTAGACTTTGTACATTTTCGTGCAGCAGTTTGTACGAGATTATATATCTTGCTGGGACCTCGGTGTTGATCACGCACGATTTTGAACGCAGTTCTCGAACACACGAAATTGGTACGTTTCTCTCGTGTAATTTCGTGCTTTAATTCCGCAGCCGGTCATTGACCGCAACGTTCGCGGTAACTAAACTCGAAATGTTTCCTTGTGCGCGATCGGAAGTCGACGTAAACCTCGAGCGAAATCTCGCTAAAACATCGTAAATGCCAACCTCTGAAAATTACAATATTCCGATTTATATACGAGATACGCAGACTGAGGAGTTTTATGATCATTATTTAATTTAATTTGACGCGACGAGAAAGGTAAGCGTTTAATGATGTTCATTATAAATAACTTTACGAGGTCTCTTATAAACCGGTCGTCTAAGAAATTGCACTATTCGAACCAATCGCGAATTCCCGAAGGTTTCAGAAATAATGTAATAAATGTTGTAGTCGAACCTCACGATTGATCTTGTACAGCCCTTAAATTCTTCCTAGAATGAAGCTATAAATGTCGCGTGATAATAAAGCAAAAGTGAAAATATCTTCTAGATTAATCAGATGTTAAAGATCTTCTCTTCCGCTTATAAAATATTGCATGTATTTTTATTCTAGGGAACGTTTGCCGCTGCTTTCAACTTAATAGCGACGTATTGCATATGTAAAAATAGTGTTTTGAGCCTCGATTTAGATAAAATTGGCAAAATAAATTATTATTAATTGGCTAAACACGCGAGATTATATCCCGCCATTGAGAAAATGAACGCGGATTTATAGCGAAACTGATACGTTCGAATGCAAACGCGTCGCGCTAAACGAAGGAATTATCGAGCGTTTACACCATGCTCCCTTTTATCGAGCACTAAACTCTTATAACGTCAGATTTGCACTACGAGTGCATTCGTGAATATCACGCTACGTTCCTGTAGACATTCCTCGTCGGCGATCAAAATCTACAATCAAGATCTTCAGCACTACTTAACCGCAAGTTAAATTAACCGATCGTAAAGTGGCTAATAGCGAGACTGAAGCGGGATACTTCGCGCGTTGCGTCCTGCTATAAATTAGGATTTATAAATTAGGATCGCGCCACGCGGTTTGATTATTAAGCGAACATTCACCGACCCGGTGCGTTATATTAACGTACGGTAACGTAAAACCTAACGTATAGACCTAACGTACCGGATTCGGGAGAATACTCGCTTTAATTACATACATGCATTACCGAGAACCGCGCCGCATTTCGTCCTACGCGATCAGTTTATTTATAAACTAATGTGCGGCCCTTTAAGCTCGCTTCATGTCGACCGACTGCGCTTCGCTTGTCGCGGAAATTCCGCGACCCACGCGTACCTAAAATCGGCGAATTATTTGCGCGACGTAGCACTGAAATATGAAATTCTTCTAATATCAGCGACATCCCTCGTAATTTATTTTCGACCGAGTGCCAGCGAGCGAAATACGTAGGAAATACGAACGAATTGAAATAAATGCGCTTTCCGTGAAATGAGACGCATACATAAATTTTAGCAAAATCAACAAGTATGACGCAATACATATAATTACAATTATACAATGTATAATTACTTATTTTAGAAGTTTCCATTTTTCTGCCTGAAAGTCCTATTCTCTTGCTGCGACAATCTGGTCGCCACATTTTCGCCCTTCCTTCTCAAACTATCAAATTGTTTCTGTAATATTGTCTGTAAGAAACAATATGGTTTCTCTTTAGTTTCGCTCGTCTCGATGTGTCCTTCTTCTCTCGTTACGAGCGTTTTTCTGGCCTGCCTCGGATTCTGAGAGAAAATCTTCTCACGAGCGTGTTCCTCCGAGAGAGAGATGAGACATCGACCAACTTCGACGGGAGCGAGGGTGCCATGCGCGCATTTCTCTTTTTCGTCGACGCAACAGGTGACGCTTCGACCCGGCGAGGAAAGTCCCGATACCAAGAATCCGTGAGATTCTTCGACCCCCCGAGGGAGGGTCGGATATTAATCGTCGCGCGCGCTCGCTGGATTCGACATTTTTTATTTTCCTCGGCTTACAGCCGTGTATTCTTTCTCGGACCAAGTCCCTAGGTAGGAAAATGTGTTCACGTGGTCGTTAGGGTGTTTCAAAGAAAACAATCTGGTTCGAGACTTGCCCTCGGCCTTTTCAACAGTTGTTAATAGTAGCACGGAAAAACAAGCGCATATGTAGGATGTCCCGAGAAAACATCGATCAAAGTTACTGTTAGGGATCAAAAGTTACTCTGGATAGTTACTCTCGAAATCGGATATAGGTACTGAGAATGACATACGAAATAGTCGGTTGATAACCGATTGTTTGTAATTCGAATTCTTTTAGAGACATCGGCGTTAATCATACTCATAAGTTGATAAGATTTATCGTCAGATAAGATAGACTGTTTGATTTTTCCCTCATTTTCTTTTTTGACACTTTTAGGGCCGGTTGTTCCAACCTGTTGGTAGGCTAACTGCTAACTAATAGTTAAATTATATGTCTAATATCTTTGTCTAATGTAAAAAATAAACAAAGACATATATATGATTTAACTATCAGTTAGTTTACGCAGGTTGGAAACCGGCTCTTAGAAAGCATAACGCCTTATAAACACGGAGAAACAATGAGAAATGACGATCAATAACACTTGTTTGCGAGTTTTTCGCGTGTCAGCAAAACAGGTGACTATATTACAGGTGACTGTTACTGTCAAAACGGGTCGAGCGTTAACACTGTGGCGATCATTCTCAAATTTTCGGAAAAAAACTTTATTATAAAACGTCGGAACCTTCCGTCTTCATAGCCAGTTGTCTGCAGTTCTATCTACTTTCGATCGCTTCTTGCGATAATTATTTATTTTGTTTGCGCCGCGTACCTATATATAAAGTATACATACTGTACATGCCAGTTTTAAATGGAAGTATCTGATTTTGCTGGGCGTTTTATTAACTGCAAATTTTTGATAAATCCGTCTCTCGCTTTTGCGCTATCAAGCTCGCGAACATCGATCGTCGTAGAATGTTCATATTCGGTGTGAATTTACGATAACGATGATTTCGAGTCGCGTTAAATGTGGCGTTCCCGGACGGGAAGCACGTGCCCAGAGCTTGTGCGTTGACTCGCACGCTAGTGCTCTCAGGGCCGTGTTTCAGCGTGGTCGTGTCTAAAGTCTAAAACCGTTGGTCGGTGTGTCCTCGGCGAGTGCATCGCGTTTTCGGGGTTTGGCCGTCGGCCAAGCGACGGGAAGACTCTCCTCGCGAAATAGAGAAAAAATACGACGAGGTCGGGCGGCCGAAGAAAAGGAGGGAACGTGGTAGGAAATGAGCATTTTGCTCGTCTATTATTATTACCGACATAATCGCGAGTTTATTTTGAGAGAAAGGAAGAGAGAGAGAGAGATTTCCAAATATTTTCTTTTTCAGTTTCCACCTTTCCTACCATTTACATAATTACCCTCCTTTCCCTCTTTCATCGTCTGTAAGCTCAGTGATTGTGATCGAATCGAAAGTTGTAACCGCTCTCGTTGCCCCTGAAAAAGTCGTTGACAGGCATTTTCCGTCCACGTGCTATTTTATCCCGCCTCAGAGGGAAAGACAAATAAACCTTCCACGGTTTCTGTTTCAGGAAGTCACCCATGCCGCGATTACACTAACCACGTATGTCCGGTGTCGAGCGAGTCGAAATGGCGACGATCTGCATAATCTTCGGGATCCTCGCTATCTTGGGCGTCGGACTTACGCAAGGACGGACCGTTCGACTAGGTGAGAAAACATAACTCTTACATACATACATTACTTGGAAAAATTGCACAATCATATTCATTTAATAATAGATGGAGATCTTTCGAACACTTGTTACGTATATGTTCGAATTTTATGCAAATAAAAGTTCAGATTTAAGTTGCACAAGCGATGATGTATAAACGATTTATGGAACGTGCCGCTTAATGCTTTAGTCGAGTTATATTTCAAGAGCGTTTAATTCACGGAAGCGGCATAACGACGTTTTCTAGGAATATTCGCAAAGGGAGATGAAAGCTCGGTTGCACGATGGAAATCTCGTAAACATTAATATTTAAAAACGATGTAGAAATCGCAGTAGGAAACCGAAACTACCACAAAATTTTGTTATTATCCTGTAACGAAATTTTGTTATTATCCTGTCATAATTTATTTCATTCATCGCGGTACATTCTTCGGTAAATTCGTTCTCCAGGAAAATCGCGAGTCAAATAAAACGAGTAAATGCCACGAGACGCGCCTGGTACGCGGTCGTAGCGAGCCGAAGATTTGTAAAGGAAGTCTGTTACGCGGTATTTTCGTATCGAAAAAGGAACAACCGGAGCGAAGCATGGCTAGTGCGAGTCGTGCGACGTGAAAAAAAGTGCGAAGGAAGAAGCGCGAGCGACGAGGAAGCTAGTGAAAGCGAAAGCGGAAGTACAAACGAAAAACGAACAGCGCGCAGAAGCCCCGAGATGCGTCTTCTAGAGGAAATATTTCCAACTTGAAAACCAATTAATCAGCGATTTATATTAACTCCGGATGCCGAGCGAAAGAATTCAGCTTCTACGTCTGCTCGAAAAGATGTTGAAGAAAATTGATACGACGGTTGCGATCCGTGTTAATAATAATACGAAAGAATAATTCGCGCTGCGCGGTGGAACTTTCGTGAAATCTGTACCGAGAAACGTCAGCTCTCTGTCAGGCTTTCAAATGCAGCGTTTGATCCTGGTTTATTTCCAGTTCACGTCGCTCCTAGGCTTCGTAGCTACGATTTAATTATCGGCGCTTGCATTCTCGGGAAACTTCGTGTCGGAGAACACGCCACATGCATACATATCGCCGCTATTTAAATCGTAACCGCTGGCACTCGGTTGCAGTCATCGATGTTCAAGGAAAACGTGACAGTACGATTACTTGCTCGGTCACCAAAAATGTAAGCCGCGAACGGAGAAACACGGGCAGTAATTAATTAGCGTCAGCGCGACGGTAATTATATCCCACGTGGATGTAATTATCGGTGGTGCGTGTCGCACATAGACGCAGTGATCATTTATCTTCGCGATAGCTATGCAAATTGTCACCGATTCCATTTAATTACGTCCGATGCTCATTTCTATCAATGCAGATTAACTAATTCGTAGAACTAGAAAAAGATAAAAGTTAAACCGAGATTAAAGTTAATCTTTGATAGAAATGGACATGAGTCTTCTGCCATTAGGATAAACGTGAAATATTGTTGTCGTTGCAATTGCAATTGCATGCCGCCAATTTTGTTACTATTACGTAATATTGCGATGCGTTCGGCGAGCAGTATGCGAGGACGTTGCGTGGGCTATTCGTTTATTGTTCCAAACAATGGAAACGTCGATTTCGACGAACGTCGAGAGCTCTAATGCTGCCCCGGTCAAAAGGAGGAGGGCGCGGTCGAAAATTTCGAACGGGCACCACATCTGGCGAACAGACACGGGCTTTGTACCCCGCTGGTGTGATTTCCACTATATTCCATAGTTGGTGCGTGCTCGAAAGTAGAGTTTCGTTGGAATTTCGGCGACGGGGGCCACGTGCGTAAACGCGCGACACGTAAACGGGGTCCCGTTTCGCCGCGACTCGGCCTAATACCTAAACGTCGCGCCGGGCGGACGGAGAGATTCATAATACCGTCCGCTCTCGGGGGAGGGGTTCCCGGGTTGACGCTGACGGTGCCCCGATTATTTTCGACGCGCTCGACATATATTCCGCCACGGCGCGGTGGCGGATTGATATTTCGGTAAATAAATATCGACGCCGGTCGAACGGGCGAAACGACATGTCTCTGTGTGTTGGCACGATATATGCGTATGAGCGTTATTATGATTGAGCTCAATTGTCCAATTGCCCGGTCATTGAATGCCGAGCCGGGCTGCGGAGCCCGCTATTACCGAATCGCCAGCAACGATACTCTCCCGGCGATGGCGGATACGAAACGCCATTTTCTCGGACTAAATTCAGGGCGGGAAGGGACCTCGCCGCGTCGCGAGAGCGACGAGAGCGATGAGAGCCACTGCCAATCTTTTGTCTATTAAATGTATTCAACAGCGTAATAGCGGCTGATATTACCAATTGGACAATGAAAGAGATGGCAGCGAAGCGCGATTTATGGGGTGGAGGGATAGGGGGTGGATGAGAGACAGCGGGGGAGGGGGAGGGGACCGAGAAGGAGATTTCGCCAAGAGATCTCGGTCGCTTTTGCCAGTTGATCGAGCGTTACTCCGTTTTTCCGCTGGACCCGTGCCCGTTCGTCTCGCAGATGAGAATCCTCGGAAAAGCGCTCGTCTCTTCGATGCAGCGCAACCCGGAAAACCGACGCGGAAGATAAATCCGCACGACTCTGTCCTCCCGCCGGCGATCCCATCTCGAACGGAGCTTGAAACAAGCTTGGCGCGTTCGTTAAGATAACGAGCGCGCTTAAGCGACGTTCCCTCTCGATCTCCCGAGAGTCGGATGATCCGTTTCGAGGTGTAATTATGCGGTTAGATATGTGTGTACCTGGCGATCGTTTCAGGGCTGCCGACCTGTCAAGAATCCCGACGTTTCTATCTGCACCCTGTCTCCCGGACCGTAAATCTCCTCTCGTCCTTTTTACTCCGCGCATTCGCTCCATTATGAAACGACGGCTTCCACATCAGGACGAAACGGAATCTTAATTAGATCGTCGAGTCAGCCTCGTTGGCAGGTCTCTATCCTAGCGGAGGCCCGGTGTACTTTGTTAACGCGATATCTTAACGCGAACGGACGATGCGTTAAAACGTATAACAGGATTCTCCCCGATCCTGCGCGACTCATCTCGCTTGGTTCGCCACGGACCGTTTTTTTATCTCGTATTATCATATATCGAGTCTTTTGTTGAAAGAAGAAGACGTCCGTGCGCGACGAACGTTCGTTTTGTCTTCCTCCGGGCAGAAAAAGATCGAAATAAAACGATTTCAGCCGTCAACACGCGCTACAGAATAGAACAAGGTATAATTGGATCGACGATACTCCGTTCGTGCCGTAAAGTATCGTTAACCCGATGACGGGAAAAAACATCGCCGTCCAGTTTCAATTACGAAACTTTGAGCGCACCGACGGGTTTCCGCGAAGAGACCGACGTTCGTCGCGGGATAGGTGAACGTTCTATGAAAAAGAGGATCTTGTGTGTAATGAAGAAAAAAGGGTCGGCGTTTTAACGTTTCCGCGCGGAGAGATCGCGCCGCGCCGCTCGCACAAGAATTATCGCGTCTAGAGTTTCTCCTTTTTGTCGAATCATCATCTCGCGTAAGATCGACCGCTATAACATCGGCGGCATGAAAGAGATCTCTCTTGCTCTCTCTCCTCTACGAATGAAGACGCTAAAAGCCGTACGCGTGGGACGATCGTAATCCGACACCGCGGGGCACTTCTTCGAGGTCGAGAGATCTTTCTCGCCTGTCGATTTTTCTTTATTTCCACGGCCGCCACTTCTAGGCTCTCGTTTCGCTCGTGAAGTAAGATGACTCCGACGCGAACTTGGCAGTCGTGATTTCTGTCGTCGTTTAGAGTTCGGAGCCGTTTTACGTTGCCGATTAATCGCGAATGATCCATATAATCCGGTGTGCTCAGCTTCTGCTAACAATAAGTCTTCAGCGCTGTTTGATTTTGCGAATCGTTTGTTTGTTCATCCGCCGTATCGCGGGACTCGTTTACAGTTCTGAACAAATTTTTCGGAAATCTCGAGTCAAATATTTATCTTGCTAACTCTTAAAAAAAAAAAACTATGGAGTTCTCACCCGGTTAACAATTCTCTTCACATTCTTTACAATTTTTTCAACGCGAAGATTATATCAGCAGTGCAAGGGGCGTTCGCTCAGCAACTGATTCGTTTCCGTGAAAGCAGAGAAACAACGAGCAATTAAAAGAACGTAAATTGCGACGCTGTCCGCGCATGATATCCTCACGACTGGCGCCTTTTATTTCGACGACTTCTGGCTATTTCGAGCGAAGCGAGAGATCTGGTTCCATCTGAAGCGAGCGAACGATGCAAAACGATCTGATAATTGTGCGAGATGATCGTAGAAAGCTCCAAACGCTCGTCGAGATAATATAGAGAGACAGTGGTCCTCTTTTCGAGTTTCTAATCTGGTACAGATTAATTTGTGCGTTCGCACAAATCGTGGAGATCGGCGGGGCCAGTCAAGTGAAAATATTTTTGGCACGACTCGCGTCGGGAGCGACGACGACGACGGTAATCCATCTTGTTGGCTGACCTCGCCTTGTTTCTTTGAACGAGCAATCGTATCGCCAGTATTTAGCGCTCTCCGAATCTCTCGTTCACGGATGAAGACGTGAAAAGTCGGACGGCGCTGAAAGTCGAACGAATGCCCGTCACGTCACCTTATTTACGATTTACGGTTCAAGGTATAATCGGACTGGTACCGATAAATCGGTTTAGAGGCTGAGACTGATTTATCGTTACCTGTCCGATTATCTTCTTGAATCACGTTAGACGTGAAGAAATAAGACGTAATGCGGCGAACGCTTCTTTTCGTATTCGACTTTCACATCTGACGATTGAATTACGAGAAGCCATGGTATCAATGACAAAATATTACTCGCATTAGAGTGATTTTACTCCTAGTCGCGCACGCGAGAAAACAGCGATTATTTATGAAGCCGTCCGGCACTCGGAGAACCGGTAGCCGCGCCTCCGTTTGCGCGGAAACTTTGATAGCGATTTACGAGCGGCACGTGCTGCAGCAGCGAGATGCACCGCGAGCTTCCCGCCTGAGCGGCCTAAGAGACGAGAGAAGGATGAGAGAAGCCTAAGAAAGCCTACGTTTAAAGATCGGGTTGTGTTATTGGAAGATTATACGGCGCTCTTCGCGAAGACATAGTGCGCGAGGAGACCGAGGGACGTTGAAGAACGAGCGCGGGACAGAGATCGTTTCTCTAACGCGGCCGCTATAACTATCACTATCCACGCAACCATGCACGACGAGGGAAAACGCTGTATACGTCAGTTAGACAGTGCGTTGTGTCGGGGTAAAAATGCGTGCGTTTCAGGCGCGACACGGGTAAATAAACGGCCGCTGACGTTGACAAACCAGGGGTTTCCGTCGTCGCGCGCGACGTTAATGGCTAAATGGTCTTGAACGAGGCGCGCTCGATATCGAAATTAAAATTGAATTAATTTTATTTCGGAATATTTCCAGCGGCTCGTAACTGCAAAATAAGTCTGATTTCGATCAAAATCTTTATATTTACCGATGCTAATTTGTTCCTTTCTTAATGCATACTGCGAATTCTTTATTTACATCGCAAACAGTCGTGTTCCTGGATGCTGTGCGCAAAGGTGACGCGGCAAACAAAATTCTCGCCGACCCGAGGAATTTATTAAAAGAATTGCAAGCGTGTCGAACTTGCCGGTACTCTTTTTCTTCTTTTTGAAAAATTCTTTTACATGACGTAATGTTTCTACGTTCTTCGCCGTGCGACTAATTCTATACAAACATCCAAAACGTGCCGAAGCTCGTTACCGCGACCGAAAGCTCATCGGCGAGGGAAGGCTGGAGGCAGAAAGAGATGAGAACAACACCGGCAAAAGTGGCGCGAAGCTCTCGAAACGTTTAAGGCTATTCCTGGCGTTTGGCTCGAGGCAGATGGCCATGCAGTTGCGTACCGAGAGGAATCGATCCCTAAGTTTATAGGTATCGGTCGAAGTCCACGATCCGGCGTGGTTCAACGCGGAGTTTTTGGGACGACGGGTTATTTAGAAAAATATCCAAAAAACAGATTTGATTTTGAAGACGACAAAAGAGTTCCAATAAGGATGAATTAAATTTTTGGGAGGACACCCCGCGCAGATTCCGTCTCGATGCAGGACCGAACTTCGCGCACCGGATCGCAGCCGCCGATGCCACGTGCCCCGCATCTGTCGCTGTCTCCCGAAAAAGAGCGAAGCGAAGCGCCCACGGCGACGAGCGACAATATAAACTCAATCGATTTCCGTCGAGGGCTCTTCACAATGCACAACGACTCGTTTGTGCGCAAGGATAGGCTCGGCGCGAGGATGTTTAAAGATTTGCGAAAAGAAAGATCTCCACTCGGGGATCTCGATTGAATTAAAGTCTCTTCCCTTTCTTCCCGGCGCGTCTGGAATAACTCGGGAAGCAGATCCGCTGAAATAGAGAAAGGAAAAAAACCTCACCGATCATCGTTGCGATCCAAATGAATGGTGATCGATGCGAGTGGGGCGATCATGTCTGGGTATTAATAATCGAAATTTCAACGATGATGAAGACGCGCGACGCGCCTCGTAGTACTATTAGTGGTCGTAATGACAGGGCGATTCACCGGGGAAGAGAGACGGCGAGGGGGGGTTTCGCGGGGGGATAGCTCTAAAAATAGTGTGCGACGCATTCCGGGGACGGAGGGGCAAAAAGGCTCCAGATGGAACGTCGGAAGGGACAGTGTCGCGATTCACTTCTGGCTGTCTTCCAAATGGCGATACTCCGAGGTCCGGTCGGTCGGCCTCATGAATGAGCCGCGGAGGAAAATGAGTTTCCTTGATCAAACCGGCGCGAATATTGCGGGATAGGCAGACTGGACGGACCCGAGCCAAGCTCCGTGTCGTTTTGCTCTCTCTCTCTCTTTCTCTCTCATCACAAAACATCCCTATCTGACCTCCGTGAATTCTCGCGACGGCGATTATTATAGAGCGTCGCGTCGACGAGCTAAATCTATACGAAGCGACAGACGATGCGACAAAAAACGAGCAAAATATTAACGACCAAGTTAAAATTACTTAATTTATCACGCGATCGATTTATAATTCGCTTTAAACGATGCCGTGACGTTTTATTCTTCTTAAGAAGGCAGAAACATTAATTGGCTTTAGGGGATCCTTCAGATTCTTTCGATACGAAGCTACAATCTGAGTAATAAATCACGAGTTTCACTTCGCGGAAATCGTGTACGAAGAAAGGCCGAATAATATCGTTAACATCGCGTTACAACACCCGATGGATACAGATTGAATGCATATTCGCAGTCATGGTATATTCACACAACGTTATAATGAGATGCATAATGTTTAAATTGCAGATGAAATTAATCCCGACATTGTGGTGTCCGTGGGCGAGAAGCTCAATCTACGTTGCCAAAACTTCAACTTCGAGACGACGTGGTATAAAGACGACGAAGCGTTGCATAAGTCGACCAGCAGGATACGCGTAAACAAGCAGCTTTTGAAGTTCAAATATGTCGAGATGGACGACACGGGCGTCTACAGCTGTAGATTGGAGTCGAATGAAACCATCGACTGGAAGAACGTGAGCGTGCGCGTCGAGAACCTGCAGAACGACGGCTTCGAGAACGAAGGCGAGGACAGGAGCGGCGCGATGAACGTGCTCAGACCGGAAGACGGGAGCAACGATCTCGAGACCGAAACCAGAAGTGAGTTGTCCCCCGATAACTCCCCACTCGCGAATCTCAATTAAACGTGACATTAACTGTCGTGTCGAATTGAATCATAATGTCAAGGGCGCTGTACACGACGCAATAATAATCTCTTCCGCAGACTTGCCGGAGACGCGGTCGTTGCATATGGACACCGAGAAATTGGACGCGGACCTGGACGAGAAGAGCGAGCAGGATGCGGAGGACGAGCACAATCAGAAGGTCCCGGAAAGCCCGCCATCGTTCAACAAGACCGACGAGATGCACTTGACGGTGGTGAAGCCCGCCGGCAGCACGATGCGATTGAGATGCCCGAGCGTGGGCAATCCCAAACCGAACATCACGTGGCTGAAGAACAACGAGGAACCAAGACGGGATCTTGGCGTCGTGATCCGTACCAAGTGGACCCTGAGGTTGGAGGATCTCGTTACCAAGGACAGCGGCAATTACACGTGCATCGTGTGCAATTATCTGGGCTGCATCAACTATACCTTCAAAGTCGACATTATTGGTGAGTAGAGACGCCACGATTCTTCTTGCTTGCTACGCGAGTTCGGTCGTTTCGTTGTTGCAACATGCAACAATTTTGCGCCGCGTCTGCGTCATTACGCGGACGCACGACTCGTCGTGCGCGGACTTAAGATGTTAACGAAACCGCAGAGCGTTTCCCGCATAAGCCGTACATCAATGAGGACTACCCGAAGAACGTGACTGCTCTGGTTAACAGTACCGCGACCTTCAGGTGCCCCATTGTCTCCGATCTCGAACCGTATATAGAATGGTATAAAGTCGCCGAATATCCCGGCGATCAAGAGGACTCGCCCAAAGCCAAAGGGACTCTGATCCAGGTACAACCGCCATTTATCGCGATGATGGTGGTGGAGGGTCCTGGGTCCTGATCATTTATTTATCTCCATTCTTTTTTTTTAGAAAATTCATTTAATCGACGAATTTTCTTTAACAAATTCGTTTAATCGTAATACTTTGTTGCCGTGCTAACTCAATGGTGCAGGGTAAACTATTCTCAAAATTTTTTCAGGTTTGGACGAAGAAGACTCTGTCCTAGTGATTAACAAACTCGATTATTTCATTTTGCAGCATATGTCTCTCTCGCTTCTCGGTTGCGGATCTTATTTCTTTTTACGCTTTATTTTATTCCAATCTATTTTATATATAGAAATCAAAACATACACATACAGGACATTGACTCTGTAAGAAGGAGAATTAAACGTGATTTAATGGGTGCTATATTTTTTTATGTAAATAATACATTTATCTATTTTGGTGGTTCGGGTTGCGTACGTGTAGGCGGATGTTGCTCCGACCGCCACATCTATTTTACAATTTAGCAAACAGGCTTGATCCGGTCTGTCTATTTTTCTATGTTACGAGCTTTTATTTTCACACATCTTTCCGTTTTTACAGGCGTAAAAATATTCCAAATAACTTGAACAGGTGAATTCTCTATGTATTTCTTGTTTTATTATTGTTGGTTTAACGTTATTGGTGGTTGGGTTTCTTTTTCTCTGTAGAGACAGTAGCGCATCGACCGATCCTGACGATTCCACCACGAAATACCACGGTAGTTGTCGGAAGGAACGTTAGTATGAACTGCAAGGTGTTATCCGATGCTCATCGTCATCTCGAATGGTATCATGGTTATCATACTTCTTTCGACACCGTCAACAAGACCAATCAGAGCTTACGAGTGGAGGTCAAGGTGGGCGCAGCTTGCATGCAAACTTCGCGATCTGTTCTTTTAATCGCTTTCTTTCGATCTTTGCTTTCAAATTCGAATTTTTCGAATATTGCTAACTTAATGTGGCTCTGTGCTGTCCTAACATTTATCAAAGAAGCAAATTAAAATGTGCGCTCGCGCTCACGTACTTATGTAAATATCGCTGTACGTTTGATTAACGCATCAAACAATTAACAGTGGCGTTTTTCGTTCGACATAGGCTGGAAACAAGGGAGCAGAAAATCCTGAAGAGCTGAATCTGTACAACGTTACTGAAAAGGATGAGGGATGGTACACGTGTATTGCCCAGAACACTTTAGGGGAAACATTTGCTAACGCTTATCTACGTGTAGTAGATCACGAAAGTGAGTGTGTTACAACCCAGTTTTGTTTTTTGAAGTTTTTAAGCGTACCGTTCATAGGAACAAAATATTTTTGAGTGGAGTACAAAAGGCAAGTAAGCTATTGTACATATATTGATTCTATAAAATTTATTCAGCACTGGACGAGCAGAGAGTACCGCTAGCCGCGAAGCCGCAGATCCTAGTGAACGTTCTAGCGGGCATTCTATGCATATTCTTTGCCGTGGGTGTCGTCGTAGTGATATACATCTTCCATCGACTGAAACGCGAGAAAATGAAGAAGCTGCTCGCGATAGAAACGGCGCGAGCAGCGGTCGTCACGCAATGGACCAAGAAGGTGATCGTGGAGAAGCAGAAATTGGTGAACGCGCAGAACGCAGAAGGGGAGCTGCTGATGCCGGTGGTGAAAATCGAGAAACAAAAGTCCACCGTCATCGCCGAGGACAACACCAGCGACAACGTGTCCGAGTACGAGCTGCCACTGGACAGCGCTTGGGAATTGCCGAGGGAATATTTCACGTTTGGAAATACCTTAGGCGAAGGAGCCTTCGGCAAGGTCGTCAGGGCTGAGACGAACACCGGTAAACCCGGAATACCCAGCGTCGTAGCGGTAAAAATGTTGAAAGGTGAGCAAATAAAAATATACGATTACGATTGCATAGAGGAGAAAAAGAAAGATGTATCTTATATTTTATACATATCTATATTCTCGTTAACAGAGGGTCACACGGACACCGAGATGATGGATCTGGTTTCGGAGATGGAGATGATGAAGATGATCGGCAAGCACGTGAACATTATCAATTTGCTGGGTGCCTGTACTCAGAACGGTCCTCTATACGTCGTAGTGGAGTTCGCTCCTCACGGCAATCTACGAGACTTCCTCCGAGACCACAGACCCACCGCGGGATACGAACCGGCTATCGGACAAGAGCCGAAGGAACGAAGGACCCTCACGCAAAAGGATCTGGTCTCGTTCGCGTACCAAGTGGCGCGTGGGATGGAGTACCTGGCCAGTAGGAGGTGTATACACAGAGACTTGGCGGCCAGGAATGTCCTCGTCAGTGACGAATACGTGCTGAAGATCGCTGACTTCGGTCTCGCCAGGGACATTCATTGCCACGATTACTACAGGAAGACAACGGACGGACGGTTGCCGGTGAAGTGGATGGCCCCAGAGGCTCTGTTTCACCGTATTTACACCACTCAGTCCGACGTGTGAGTGTCCAAGAATAATAATTCTTTCCTCCAACAGAGAATTTTATTTAATTATTTCGACTTATAATTCTTTCGCATTTATCTTTATCCCTTAACATTTTTCATTTCTTCCAGATGGTCGTACGGGATTCTGTTGTGGGAGATTATGACGCTGGGCGGCACGCCTTATCCGTCCGTGCCGTCGGTTGAGAAATTATTCCAGCTACTTCGATCGGGCCATCGAATGGAGAAGCCGCCCTGCTGCTCGATCGAAATGTAAGGCATGCTTTATACGCAATCTGCCTACATAACGCACTCGATATACGTTTCATTTTCGAGAGAATATACTCCTCGATTCCTTGCTTATAGATATATGCTCATGAGAGACTGTTGGAGTTATCAACCGGGCGAAAGGCCGAACTTTGAAGAACTGGTCATCGATCTCGACAGAATATTAACGATAACGGCGAACGAGGTGAGTCGCGATATCCGCGCATGTCGATAAATAAAGCAGGATTTTTGTAGCAGCAGTCTTGATCTTAACATGCTTCTTCGACATTAGGAATATCTGGATCTTGGCCTGCCCCAGTTGGACACGCCTCCGTCCAGTCAAGAGTCCAGCGAGACGGAAGAGGAAGGCGAGGAGAAATTTCCATATCTGCTGTGAGTCGTGTACTCGTTGCGAGGAACGTCACTTAGATCTCGCGTAGACGATGAGGTACTCGAGATAACTCCAGCCGACTCGCGAGTGTAATAAACTATCGGCAAGAGCGAGCGGAGTGAAATACGATAAATAACAAAGAGATGAGGAGTCTGAGCGTAAGAGATCATACGCGAAGGATAACCGACTGAAACAAGCGAACACGCCAAATAAAATAAATCAGTATTGACCTGTGTAGCGCGTAGAATTAAGAAGAGTGCGTTATTCATGAAGCGGTAGCGTATGTCAGTGTTATTTTGCGTATCGACGAAACCTAACAACCCTGTGTCGCTATTGTTTATCGCGAATTTTGACATACGCCAGATTTAGGATCAACGCGAAGGAACGAGCGACAAGCGGAAACTGAAAGGACACTATCTTTTGCGGCGTCCTTGAACACAAAAAGCGAATTCGTATATCGCTTATACAGACCTTATACGTAGATGTAATAATTGTGCCATGAATCAGTGCCTTGCAAAGGTATCGAACGACAAACGAGGAGATGTTATCGTGACGGAGATATTCGCCCATATGCTGGATCGCGTAGATAATACGAACGGATATCAGACGAGAGAACATGATAATGTGTAACTAGTCAACTGTGGAAATTGTATGTTTTTCTGTATTATAGTAGCTGGTAGACTTAGCGTTTTTACGCGGCTAGCATTAGCGGATGGCGATCGTAGATTTTCTATAGCGGGCAGCAAGTTTTGTAGTAGTGTTTTGTAAAAAAAAAATGCAAAGACGGTTCAGACACGTAAAAGATCGAATCGTGAAAAGAAGCGAGCATCGTTTCGAGAAGAAAGTCCAAAGTATCGCTATAAGTTTTGTAGCTGTATTAGTATCGATTGCGATACTAATACATATATGTGTATAAACGGGAGGAGAAAGGCGCTTAGAGATAGATAATTTATTTCTCGTATATCAGTGTCCTTCAAGTATATATATACGCGTCTTCAGGATCTTTCTTTTTTTACGTAATCTTAAGTTACATCGTTCGAGCGACCCTTTTTGTAAAAAGTGACAAAATAACGGATTTACGCATTAGAGGGTAGTTTTATAATTCGTGACTTGTACATATGAGAGTTTATTTAATAATTATTTGTTATCTGAAAGTAGAGTAAAGACAGGTAAATTAGCATTTACCTGTGGTACATAGATTTTATGTATAAACTGTGTAAAGGAATCGTCATCACAATATAAATCTCATCTCAATTTTTATCAAAATAAAATAATATTTTGCACCTTTATTACATCCCGAAGTCCCGAATTTCCTCGTCGAAAAAATATCGAGCGTGTTGATAATAAATCCATTTCTACTTTATACATATAAGGCTATAATTTTTATTCTAATGATATTAATCCAAAAATAGACTTGAAAAGAAGTAAAAAAATAAGAAAATATCGAGCGTCTTTATTTTTGCATTCTATAAACATCTAAATTTTATTTTCCTTGCAATGGACTGCGTGTTACTTTAACTGACAATGAAATATTAGCTCTTGATAGAGATCGAACCGTGGATATAGATATACGTAAATGATATAAAACAATAAAAAAAATTTTTTTGACTCACCAACTCGATGCGCAACGGACGGAGTTATGCAGCCACGTAGCTACGATGATACTGTAACATACAAACAAGATTCAAATTTAAAAAATGCTCAAAATAATCAACATTTCAACAGATAATTTTAACGCGTCTCTAATTCGTCTTTTAATGAGATATTTAGCAATAATTAGTTATTTACCGAAAAAAATCTTTACAAGAATAAAATCTTTAATTTATCTGCTTTTAATTACTTTTAACTTATCGAAATAAAACGATTCGAATAAAAGGAAACGAATCATTAATTTTATGTAGCTAAGAAATAATGATATTTACCCCAAGGTTGCTCCGTCGGTGCCCGATGTCTCTCTCGGACCTCCTCCTCCTCTCACCGCACAGGACACTCGCGAGAAACACTCGCGGATAATAAACTACAATCGCGCGCGGACTAATTTCAGTAAAAGTCTTTCTCGCGCGATACTGTACGGCACTCCCGTTTGAAAAAGTCCTTTAGTCCGATTACTTGAACGGCACTCCCGAAGCAAACGCGACGAACCGGCTGCGGTTCGTTTATTCAATTAAATCGGCGGACGAGGGTACGTTAGCTTCCCCGTCTTTAGATTTTTATCCAAGCAGAACAAGAGTTTTGCTTGGGTAAAATCCTCGTACTGGGTACTGGGCCTTCCCACCTCGCCAAGGTCGTACCCGTGGGGAAGGAAGTACTTTGCTTCGTAATATAAAAGCATGTATTACAAAATCAAGTTATCGATATATAAATATGGATAGACAGGCTACAAAGAATTAGAATAAAATTGCGACATAATTAATAATTGTCTTCTTTTTCATTAAATAAATTAATAAAACAATTATAATAATAAAAATCGCCCCGAGTCGTTCTGCGTTCGATCATCGCGTTACTTCAATGACGACGAAATGTTCTAAGATGTCGGCAACTTGCCGCGACACTACGCAAATCGAGCGGACGATTGATAAAGACACGCAGACGCGCCGTTGATTAATCAAAGATAACGCTATTGAAATTAATACAGCACGCGCAGTACGGTATCGAACTTGTAAATCTCGCGAAAGCGAAACTGCGTTATTAATTTGCGCGACGAAGAATCGTGACTGCCGACCGCCAATTTACGCTACGCGAGATCCACCGGATCCACGAGAATATGACGCATATTCGCGAAACGGGCGATACATCGCGGCGTTCCGTTATTCGAATCACTCGGTACGACAGAGTATCAGCCCTCAATTATCCCGGAGAGAATCGGAGATAAATCACATCGGAGACAATTCCGGCACTGCGTTCAAAGCGCGACACGCGATAAATGAAATGCTGCATTCGAATTTAGAAATATGGCGAGACAAGCACCACGATTATCGCCTGCGAATGTCACGGCGAAAGTCAATCGTTCGCAATTGCCGTACGTACCAATTCGCCCGTCGCCGACTTCGCCTCGCCGCGTCTCCGCCTCCGGTATCTCCGTCTCAAGCGAGCGATTCGCGCGGTACGTTAATTCCGACAAACACTTAATACACACGGAAATTATTGAACGCGTATACGGCACGTACTCGCGCAGGCGATTGCTCCCGCGGCCCGCGAAACGAGGAGCAGGAGTGCCAATCGCGGAAACAAAAAGCGCGTTCCGAATAACACACACTGCAGCACCAATAGCACGGAGCACGGCGACGGGCGCGCGGAGCACAAACACTTCATACCTGTGTGAAATTCATCTGGAGAACGATAGCTGACTTCCGCAAGTAAAAGTGTTCCGAGCGTTGACGGAAACAAATGGCGAGACCACTCAAAGATAAAAATAATCGGCCGCTGCGTCGCCTCGGAGCGGCCGAACGTGATTGGCCGGATTCGGGGGCTCGACTGGCGAGCCAATCGCCAATTTAAATATCTAATTCTGTTATCTCTTGGTCTTTAAAAATGTTTAATTTTTTTTAAAAAACATTTTTAATGTTTTTAAAATTATATATGAAATGTGAAACAACACTTATTCACCTAAAATATTCTTTTTATTCTTTATACTGAAATCGACACGATTTATGTTGCAATGCACAATTATTTTATACTTTTAATTGAGTATATTAAAACAATTTTATACAACAGATTTTTTCAATATATAACAGTTTTTCATGCTTAGCGACTTTTTAAATGTTTTTTTTTTTTAAGATTTAGGGCCAGTTGTTCGATCCAACTCTTGTTCGTAAACTACTTAATGGTGAAAGCACATATATGTGTCTTTCCTCCAAATTAGCCAAAGATAGACATATTATTTAACTATTAGTTTATCAACAGGTTTCAACAATCGGTTTTTAATCTTTTAATGCTTTAAAAACACGCGGCAATGTCCATCTTCGCAGGTTCTTTTCTGGAAACGATCTTCGTTACGTGCCTTTTCCATGGTGGAACGAAACCGCGCGGCATCTGTCCACAACAGTCCAACACGTCCACGTCACTGTCAGTCGGCGTGGTTTCGGCACATCGTACGGTTTTCCTGAGACGTGAGTGACGTGACTCGCGAACGGCGGCTCGCTCGTAACCTCGTGGCGGTCGATGAACGAAACGTTCACGCAGATGACAAGCTACCTGGACATTTCCTAGCGTAAACGAGAGGTACCTTTTCACGATCTCGCCGAGCGTGGCAACGTGGTCGAGCGCGAGAGCGTTCGCCGACACGTCCCGGAGCCCAAGACTAACGTACGTTGTTTCCTTTTTTCTCGATACAGCGTAACGAAGATGCATTGGACGCTGTGCGTGCTGATAATCGGGTCGTTCGGATGCAAATACATCCTCGTCCAGGCGCAACGAGTTCCGCCCGGCGTACCGCCTCAGCATTATCAGCAGGTAACTCGCGCTTTTCCCAACGACGATCCTCAACATATGGTTCAACGTGGTCGCTTCCCGGCGCATGACGTGGGAGTCAATTCGAAGCGAAGCCGGTATAATTCCGTCAAGTTTGATTTCCGACGTTGTGGGTACTCTAAGAAAAATCGTTCGGTCACGTTTTATTTACCGGCGAGTAAGCGTCAAGTTTGTTATTGTCAGGTTTTTGACATCTAAATGTACAGCAGAATTATACTGGCCTAAATCCTCGCGTTGAAGTATTCAACATTGTTTATAAACAGCTGTCGTTAACGATAGTCCGATGTACGTTATTTTATAATTGACTACTTGTCTGTTTCAGCAACAAATGCCGCAACATGCGCAGCACGTGCCGCAGCAACAGGTAAATTTGCTTGATTACATCTCAGTCACCTGATTATCTTCAATACCGCTACATCTTATCTTCGCTGTTGGCTTTTTTTCTTTAGTATATGTTTAAGTTAAGAACGAGTTCCGATTTAATTAATGTCTGGCATAATAAAACTTTGCCTAAGTATCAAGTACCAGCGCAGCAACAGGTTCCCCTTCAGCAAGCATCAATGCAGCAAGTACCCATGCAACAGCAGGTACCTGTACAGCAGCAAGTACCTATGCAACAGCAAGTACCCATGCAACAGCAAGTACCCATGCAACAACAAATTCCTGGTCAGCCTCAGATTCAACAACCACATGGGCATGGTCATGGGCAACCTCAGTTACTTAATACCGCCAACATAGCTCACGAGAAAGAGTAGGTATCATCTGGATACGGGTTTACGTAAAAATTTAATTATTTAGCTTCTTTTATTATTATTTTTTTTATCTTAGTATTTTTTTATTTATCTTTTATTTATTTTATTATTATTCTTTTATTATTATTATTTTTATCTTTATTGCAATCAAGCCAAAGATAAGGCACCAACAATTTGTTACTATAAAGCAACAATATACAAATGCTATAAAGCATCAATACACAAATGACAGTATATTTCTTTTTTTCTACCAGACATATCGCCGAGCACGCTGACGTTCCAATAGATACCAGCAAGATGACAGATCAGGAGCTGCAGTTTCACTATTTCAAGATGCACGATGCAGATAATAACAATAAGTTGGACGGTTGTGAGTTGATCAAGTCGCTTATACATTGGCATGGTACGTACGAACTAAATCCATCAGCAGTTTCTCTTTTTACTGTATCTTTTCTTGCGCAACTGAATTTGTAAGTATTTCCATTGTATCCGTAGAACAAGGTAGTCCGGATTCTCGTACGCACGGCGATAAATTATTCAAGGATGAGGAATTAGTGCAATTGATAGATCCGATACTTAGCATGGACGACAGTAATAACGACGGCTATATCGATTACCCAGAATTTATCCGAGCCCAACAAAACGCCGCAGCTAATACGCGTACATAGTGGTGAATCGAAATTTAATATGAACTTTTAAAAGAGATTGTGCAAAGTCGAAGGAACATGGAGGGAATGTTGGATTTTCGTTATGGATTATTCATGATGCATTATTGACACGTCATTTATCCTATGTACATGATGAAGCAGAATCAGTACTTGTGGTAATTCATCCTTTATCAAATTAATTATTGAGTTATAAGCAAGAAAACTAAGAAAACAGTTGAATATAAAAGAGAGGAAACTTTTTTAATATTAGTTATACACATTGTCTATGTGTTATACACATATAGACAATACATAATTTGAAAAATTGTATACTTGAACAAAATATTGTATAATTAAAGAAATGATTGAGGAGTATTCTTCTTGATTATTGCTTGATTATGCTCGACGAGATTAATTTTACAATGAAAGCGTGTGCTGCGTATTATGGTGTAAGATCACAATGTTCTATTGTTACTAAATAAGTTTTTTGATATATTAGAAGACTATTTTTAAACGAGAATATCTTATAGAATATCTCGGACTCTGTTAATAAATAAAATGGTCATTTATCAGTTTTTTATTATTTTATTGTTTTTAAATTTTTTTATTGAAATTGCATAAATTTATAAAATAATATTTATATTAAGATAAATGTTTCATTTTCTAGTTAATATTTCTGAGTAAGATAAGGCATAAAAGATTTTTCATGTAATAATAATGTATATACATACCTTTATCTAACTCTATCATATGTATCAATTGAAATTTTGTTCATAATTAACTATATTACAATTCAAAACACTTTTGCAAGGTTTTATCGCAAAAGATATTTAAAATAATAAGAATAAATATAATGTGTATAGAGAAAAATCAGTAATAATATAACATTAATTCATAAATTTCTTGCTTTTTGCATTTTTATATCAAAATGCTATCAATAATCACAAAAACACTTGCAATTTTATGTAAAGCGAATAAGCATAGCTAACAAAGTTTCAGCTTTAGAGAATGACACAAAATTCGTTTAAAGAGATCGTAATCATGGAAATATAACCTGATACGAAAATATGATAAATACATTAAAATGACTAGATTGCGGCTAAATTTATATAAGCAATTCGTATTTACTTATAAATACATTCCGTTAACTAAATAATCGGCATCGTGCGCAAAAGGTCCATGCCCGCATCGTCCACGCCGTTTTACTACTCGCAATCGGCAAACAATTAAAGCAGCCGTGATCGCGGTCGCGATAAGTCCCAATGATAACGACACTACGGCACCTTTGGGCTTTAAAACGTCATTTTCGATTATTTGAAGATGTTCCGCAATAACGTCAGTTCTCTCATGTGCCTTTGCGCGCTCTTCGATTACAATCACAGTTTTATGATCTGAAAGAAACCGTGTTATAAGAAAATAGAATAGTAGACATTTTTTCCTTCTTTAATATTATAGTAAGTTTATAACTACATTTACCTTTCACTTCTTTTACATGATTATGTTTAACAACAATCTCACTTGCTGATAAAGTTGGTTTTTCAGTGATTTGTTTGCTTGTCTTTACATGTGTTGTCACATATTTATTGACTTTTTCTTCCTTCTGTACAGGTTCCTTATTCTCATTTGTTAATTCATTTTTATGTTCCTCCGAAGTCTATTAACGAAATTATTATTTACCAAATTTTTCAAGATTCTGTAATAACTCCAATTGCCGAAAGACGTACTTACATCACAAGACGTACTTACATCACAAGCGGGCGTCGTCGTAATTATTGCAAGATTTCCCACATCATTGGCCTGCTTATGTTGAGAGTTCGGTGCAACAGATGGTGAAAATTGCACGGGATTTTCTTGCCAAACTGCTTTGTTTGACGATGGAAAATGTGGAGAATATGGGTGTTTGGAATCCATGTACGGTCCCCTAACATAATATTACAAAACACAAATTAGAGTCTAATTATTCGTTAGTTTAATGTAATAATTACAAGGACAATATTTTGAATTACCTATCCGCTTCATTGTTTCCTATGACGCTCGAACCTTTGTGATTAAATATATGTGGTTGCTCTGGAAACATATTCACATTCCATATGAAGCAATCCAATGACGATTATGTATGGCAAAAGAATTATATTTTACATACGTTCATAAGGATTCATATGTTGTTCACGAATAGTATTAGCAGGGACATAGGGATCCTTATTTGGCTCATATAGAGGCGGATAATTCCATTCAGGCGGGTGGTATCCCGATGATCCGTAATTCGTATGCATTTGCGGCACCTCTACCGGTTGGTCGGGATATATCATATTTTGCGGCTGTGATATTTGATGGGCCAGATTCGATATATCCCAAGCTTTAGGATTGATCTCCGGCCTGGGATAGAACGGGGGAAGAGGCTTACGCTGATCGATCACTTGCTGATACCGGAGGATATCGGCGGGCGGACGTGGCGCCTGTATTATTGGAGGAACCGTCGGTTTCTCCGTGGGACATACGAGATCTGCTGCTTCGTCAGAGCCGTCCGCACATTGCGGGATACCGTCGCAAACGTTATAAATGGCTATGCAATCTCCGGATGTACGACACTCGTACTGATTTCTGGAGCAAGCTATTATTAACGACAAAAGATTTATGTTAATATCGATCTGTAAATTCTTCAATTATTTATAACACTCAGACACTCCTAACGTTTAGAATAACATCATACCTGGTTTTACTGGCGCTGACGTAGTTAGTATCACTTTTGCTATTTGCGTGACTACAGATTTGACAGGAGTTTCCGTGAATCCGTAATCCGACGTGATCTCGTTACTTTTTCTGAGGCACGAGAACATTTAATTAGTCGCGAAATCGATAAAGGAAATAAGGAATCATAGATAAGTACCTGAGAGATTTTAACTCGTGCTCCTGCTGAGATATCCTCACTTCCTCTTCCACTTGTACATTCTGTATAGGATAACTGGTGCGCACCGCACTGGTATAATTGGCGTGCCTCGTAAACTTGCACTTGAAATCGTGCAGCGGGCCACACTGGAAAAGATAACAGCTGCTCGGTTTCTGTAAGAGACGAAACAATCGAGATGAAACATTGATCCTGTAACATGGTAACACTTTATCTTGTATCATTTATATAAGATGATTCTGAATAATCTTACAAAAATTAAACAGGAAGGAGAAAGTCCTACTGACTATTTTGATATAAGCAGTTTACGGTCTGCGAAGCCACTTTAAGGAGATATCCACTTGCACAACCATGTGAGAGTGGAGTCAACATTCATGTCTTGACGGATGATGCCTGTTGGAAGATCGTTCCCTGTAAAGCTCTTCAACAGCAAGAAAATCGCTACAAACTTCTCCAAAAACAAGATGCATGTCTGCTAGCTCTGCAAAGGTGTAGTCCTCCATCTGTATGCTGTGCACTTCAAACATTGACAGCGTCTCTTGTCAAATGGAGCTTGTTATATCAACATGGTCTCCTCTGGACGACGGAGATACGATTGACAACCAGTCAGCGGACGTGTATGATGAGTTGCCTACTCTCCAGGCTCTTACATGTTTAAGCCCATATCCCTTTAAGCTGGCTTCGCAGACCTTAAGTTGCCTATATTAAGATACTCAGTAGGTCACCCCCTCCTTCCTGTTTAATTTTTTATAAGGTTATTCAGAATAATCCTGTCGATTAGGCATGTTATTACCTTCTCCTCGAAGATGAACACGTCGCAGCGTTCAGTCTCGCAGCAATATTTCAGGCAATCCAGTCTGGAGTCGACGTCCAACACGTTCAAGTACTTGGCGCCCATGTCGCGGGAGTCCTGGGTCCGGATGATCTTGTCCTTGTGGATGTCGAAGCTCTCGAGGCACATCTGATAATCGTTCGCGCCGCCGTGACGCTTCTCGCTCGCCCTGATCGCGTTGTCGCCGCACGCACGGTGGAGGATCGAGACGATGAGGATTAAAGGCACGACCCGCCGCGTTCCGTCCAACATCGTTTCTGCTTGTGCATCATACTGGAGCGTCCGAGTGGAGCCCTAGAGCAAAGTTGCGCGCGCTGTCGCGCCCATATATGTTTTATATGTATATATAGGCGCGACCCGTATCACGATCGATAGCTGAATCTGTCTTGTCAGACGATAAATCTGTCGCGCCTCTTCCATCTTTCGCCATCGAACGGCATGACAGAACGTCGAATCGTGTGAATCAGCGTCATTTTTTTTCTTTTTTCTTTTATTCTCGTTCTCCCTTTTTGCGTAAGCTTCGATTTAACCCTCTACTGATAATTAACGTCGTCAGATGCGACCCATGATGGGTTCGTCTATTTTTCATTTTTTGTTTTACTGCAATTATTTAAAGCAAGTTAATAAATTTTATTGTATTTCAAAATATATCAAACGTGTATTTTCGTCAAGACGCTTTTTTAACCATGGTTAATCAAGGTCGTATATTGTCTTGACGATTATAGCCAGAAGAAAAGATAAAAAGTAAATTAAACCGAGATTAAAGTTAGCTGCGCTAATAGAAATGGACGATTATACTCCGAAACTATAATATATACTCAAATTAAAAATCCTGCAGTAAATCGAAGTTGCAGTCGTGTTATCATCTTTTTACTCGTTTCTAAAAAATTACGAGATTAATATATATATATGTATAAAGCTCGCGATAAAAGTCAGGAGTAAAGATTTATATATGTATTTCAATATTGTTTTCTTTTCTTATTTTTTACACAAAGCAAATGTAGCTCACAAAAATTCGATTCGCAAAAAACTTTTCAATAATACTTCAAAATTCTTCATACAAAATACGAAAACGATTTCAATTTATTTATGTCGATTAACATGGTAAAAATAATTAATTAATTAAAATTATCTGTATGGTCAAACCTTTTTAATTATAATTCAAGTCTTCATATGAAATACAAACAATTTCATACGGAAATTGTTTAAGAAATCATTAAAAAGAAATGAAAAATGATAAATGTATAATCGCAAAAGATGGACAAAGTAAAATAATGGCGTCTCCTTTCTTGCCTTGATTTTTTTCTTCTTCCTTCCTCTCACATTTGAATATAAATATTAGGGGCACTGTTGACTTTAAAAATTGAAACGTTTTATTCATATTTTATAAGCAAAAACACAACAAAATTCAAGTACACTTATTCCATACATGTTAACTTCAACTAAAATATAATTGTACAATAACATGACTCGTGTGTGTACGATGCAACGCTTTAATGTCTTTATGAATAATCGGCATACAATCGGATCGGACGCGTCCGATGAATGGAGGTCAATAATTTCGTGAAAAGGAATCTAAACGAATATGCGCATGCACTGATAAGGATCATCATCATCAAGCGGACAAGGTCTCCCACGCGCTTCTCTCTCTCTCTCTCTTTCTCTCTCTCTCTCATTCTCTCTTTCTCTCATCAATTTTAACAAGTCTTAATCGCACCTTGATATCTCGCTATTGACTATTATCAAGGAGAGTGCTTTGAAATAGTTACAAAAACGGCCGCCACAGAATAAGGCACACAATTGATGCAACGCGCATTTTTTTTCAACAATGTAACGATATATATTCGTACTTATTCTTTAATGTTACTTTGATGTGAACAAACGTCCATAAAGCTACGCCTGATCATCTTGGAAATGATTTATATGTATTCATGCTTAAGGAAACTAGAACTTTGCAGGAACAATGGTGTCTACATATTGATGCTGTGTGACATTAGGTTTCGCGTTTTTTTTTCTCCCCCGTCGCTTCCCCCGTTATCATCTTCACCCAGCACTGTCTTATATGTCGCTATTCGATTCATTCTTTTCTTTCTCTTTATTATCGTTATCGTTAATGTGTACTATCGGTATTTATTATCGTTTTGCGTTCTGCTAATGCCTCGAATGACTTCTATTTACACATCCCTCTGAGGTATGTTGCGGGCGTTATGATATGGGATACATGACTTCGCGAATCACGTCTATCAATCAACCTATAATCGCGATTATGCAAACTAAGGTACTCTCGATCTATCCCTGGACACAAATCAACTAAAGCGTGGGCTATCGTCGTAACGAACGATATTATTGTATGTTGCAGCACACCGCTCTGCTCGGTATCGGACCCTCGCCGTTCTGACCGTACAACGGCCGTTGCCGGAACATCTTCGTATCGAACGATAAGAACGGCGATTTCCCGGTGTAACAGCTCTCGTACGCCTCGAACGCCTCGTCGATGGGTATCTTCTCGTTCCCTATGGTAATGTCCTGATTTTTGTCCGGTATAAAGATCGGGATCTCCTCGCCGCGGAAATACCCGATTGTTTTGTCCTCCGGATCATTTGGCACTGTTCTCGACTTTGACGAGATTACCGACGTGCTGAACTCGCTCGACTCCTCCTCCGTATTGACGGTATCCCGCGCCAATCTGTAATACCTCTGCACATGTTCCACGTTAGCTCGTTCGATCTCGATGTTATCGTCCTCCGCCGCCTCGCCCTCGCATAAAACCCCCGGGGTTTGCAGCATCCTCCTCGGGGTTATCACAGGTTCCACAGTTTCCGCTTCCCAACACTCCAACACGTCGGGCTCCTCTATGCTGACCGAAGACGCTATCATTACGCTATCGTTCTCGTCGTTCTCGCTGCTGGTCTTCTCGCGCATCTCCACGTTTTTGTTAATCACGTCGATATAAGCAGCGTTCTTCGCGACGGGATTATCATGATCGTTAAACGGAACAGGTTCGTACGAGGAGGTCGGTAACAACCTACCGTCTTCCGAGACGATAATTTCCCCCTTCTCGAACGTCCGTACGCTCACCATACTGCCCTCGCTTGTCTCTTTGCCCTCCTCGACGTTTAAATTATCTATACGTCTCATCTTGATGTCGATATTCTCAACAGGATTTTTACTGATTTTTCTCAATGTCTTCATTCGTTTTACGTTAACTCTCTTCGAGTTTATCCGAGAACTTAAAGCAACCCTCATACCCGCAACGCTATCCTCCTGAGTAAATTCGCAAACGTCACCAACATTATTCTTCGGCTTGTCTCTTGATCTCACGCCAGTGACAAAGTCCAACGAAACCAACGAGGAAACCAACTGGCTCTGCGTCTTCTCATCAACGTTCTTGTTCCGTTTGTCGTTTCTCTTTGCCTTTGTTTTTCTTTTCACGACTTTCGCGTCCCTCTTTCTTCTGCCGATCGATGCCGAATCAGTTTCCATCTCATCATTCCTGGCGTTGATGTTGTTGTTGTTGGTCTTTGCGAATTCGCCGCAGCTAGCCGTGCGCGACAACGTAACGTTGTCGACGCCGCTATTAGCAGATAGTGCAGGCATGGGGTTGCCTTGCAAGTTTTTTGGCGGCTTTACATCCATTTCTTCGTCATCGTCCTCGTCTGTCTCGCTCTCCGAGGTTGACCCTGATGTTACGAACAGATCAGGCGAGTTCGCTCGACGCAGCCACTCCTTTACCGCAGCCGTAACGGGATACTTCTCCGACACCCGAGTCTGGCTCTCAAACCCGGAATCCTCGTTCGAACCTTCGACTGTGACTCGGCTTGTCGCTTTAATCGTGTCCTCGTTACATATCTCCGATGCGTCTTCCTTGTTCGCCACTTTCTGTTCCGTCTCGCCCAGCTTATCGTTCACAATACTGCATTTGCAGTCTGCGTCCGACAGTTCAACGGCTTCGAACTGTTGTATGAGCATCTTATTCTCTACATCCAGGTGCGCGGAGTCATCTAAGTCCGGTCCGGGCGTACTCTCTCTCACGAATTTCAGACCTTTCTTATATTTCCTGGGCAATCCAAGTGATGTTGCTCGTGTAACGGACGAATTGTTGCAGTGTCGCAATCGTTGAATTTCGTCTTTTTCGTTGATATTTATCGTTGTTAAATTGGAGCCATTGTTTTGAGGACTTACCGATCTCGACTTCGATGCCCTCTCTGTCAAGTCAGCAAGATGTTCGTAATTCGTATCGCCGTTCGTTAAACTTTCTTGATGATGTCTAACGCGATTACTCAATATATCTGTATTAACGTCGCTGCTATTATTTTCGAATAGCTCATGTTTCACATTGGCACTAGTCGAATCGCCATCATTCTCCATAGTATCAGTTCTGGAGGGCGCTACATCAGTCGGAGCACTGCTCCTTATCTCTGTAGTCTCGTTCGTCATTATCGCTTCCACATTCACGACTAGATGATTCGCTTGACCGTTAATTTCTGTATTTCTGCTTCTTGGCGTATGTCCAACTGCGACTAATTGAATGTTCTCTAAAGACGTCTTCCTCACGATTTGCTCCGAGTTGCAGATTGCCATTTCTTCCTGGTTCGTTAGACTTTGAGCAGTTGACGAATCACACGTCTCGGTCTCGCGACTGGCGGATTCCGTTTCGACGTAGGATGATACATCCCGTGCGTCAGTGACAGACGACGACGTGACTTCTTCGGCCACGGTGGTGACGATGGATGTCGAAACAGGACCAAAGGGGATTCGCGATTGCAGGTCCGGCCGCAACTGAAATTCCTGGCACTCGGGATTGAGCGGTCGATTCGCCGCCGTCGTCGTTGCAGTCGCGGTCGAGGTCGGACATTCTGACCAAGGTAATCGGGAAGACGATACATCATTATCACATTCGGAACTGTATTCTCCTTCTTCCTCATCTTCGGTGTTACCCTGTTTAATCAGAAAAAAAATTTAATTTAAAAAATGCCAAGTTTTACCAAGCGATATTTCAGTGAAAAATATCTCGCAATAAAAAATAGTTACGAGATATTTCTGGTATTCATATTCATACCATCGGTAATATATATTATTGCTGTTATATGTTAATCATTTCTTCCACAAAAGCAATTTAAGTGCTTTAACAGCATTTATTTTACTTTGCGTTAGGTGAGTTTTGCCGACTTACCAAAGTAGGTCTTCTCTGTTTTCTTTTCTTTTTCTTCTTTCTTCGCTTGGCGCACGCCATTGTCATAGCTGTTACGTCCATAGTTCTCACCAATGGCCCGCCCTGGATGGTAACACCTTGGAAACAAAAGAAACGGTCGCGCGTTATCAATCTGTCGAGGGACACGGGGAAAACTGTCAACAAATAATATTTCAGTGCGATAATTGGAGACCCGATGAGCGATTATGATCAGGAGCTTAAATGAGCGGCTAGAACGTGCCGGAGTTGTCGCGAAAAGTGAACTTGGCTTCTCGCTGCTTCTCTGTGCCTTCCGACTTCTCGTATATCGAAGCGAACGACACGCAAGTGTTATTTTTGACGAGTTCTATTTAAGATGTAGCAACGCGTTGCCGTTGCCAAACTCTCATCTCATGTCTCTCGCGCAGCCAAGACATATTTCCGACGTTAAATTGTGCCGGTGTGACCACGGGACGACGTATCTTCTCGTGCGGTGGCCGCGAGTCAATGGACTCTCGCATGAGATATGCTTCGTTACTGGTGCAATGTGAGAACAATGAGACAATACGGCGTGTCGCAGCTGTGAAAAGTACATCGAATGACACTTATGCGAGTGACATATGTCGTTAGTCGCGAGCGACAAACAGACAAATCGAGCGTGTACAGAGTTGGAACTTTAGGAACGATCGTGAAGAATGAACTGCACCGGGCTAACTCTCGACATGAAAAAGCGCCGAGCAATCTCATCGATACGATCAGCCTCATTTCACGAGGCTGCGGGGACTCGAGGCTCCCGTTTCCACGATCGTGTCTAAAGCGTGGTACCTTTTTTGCGAATTATTACCTTTTACCTTGAATGTGGTAGAGGCACGGTGGTAATAAAACAGCAATGATGCCGATGGACGGGACAGAAGTCATGAATCGGGGCATATCCCTTTCCTTTGGCCGCGCTTCCGATCGACACTGTTCTCGTTTAACATTAGAAATAGGTACAATCAAGCGTACTACGGCCAGTGTAGCGCAGTACGAGGAAGGAGCGTTCAATCCGCACATATATAAATAGTTCAATAATTGCGCTACTCCATAATTGATCGTTACTTTTTCCTACAATTTTTTCATTCCATTCTCGTTATTAGTCTAGCTTATAGTTACGCAACAATTGATTGCGTACAAAATGAGTGTCTCGCATTACTATTCTTCCTTTAAATCAAATCTTTAATCGAGTTGATATTTCCTCTAGAAAATTATCGAGATATTTAATAGCGTTTGAATATATGCAATAAAGAGTTAAAAACTTTTTGAAAAGTAAATTTTAAACTTGCTAACAAGTAACAAAATGTTCGGACAATTATAAATAAGCTTGACTGTAATAAAATCTAACGAACTCTAATCATACTTTATTTCAATTTTTACTATTTTTATTATCCACATTAAACAGTATAATCTGAATTAACTTCCAATAATTGACAAACATTATAGATTCTAGTAAAATTTTTCTTTTTAATGCGTAAATTGCGAATTTCGATCGCGCTAGCATTCCTTCCCCGAAATGCGCCTATTTCTCTTAAACGCAAACGTGGGCAACAACACACTTGTCCGTTGTTCCGTCCATCCGACTGTGAACAGAACGAAGGCTACGAGGGCAAATGTAGGTCTGCTCATGCAAGTAGCAAAGAGCAAGTACAGATTTTGCCAATCCGTATATCATAGCACGCGCACATTACTCAGGGGGACCGCTTCGATCCTATAAATCTATCTATTTCGTAACTAACCATTAACGTTGACCAAAGGAGGCCCGAACATGTAGTGACCAGGATACATGTACGGCTGCGGCACGGCCGGCATCATATGTGACATGTGCACTGGTTCTTGCATCAATAGCGGATCCAGGTAGGGATCGACCGTTGTCATGCCGTTCTCCAAATGTTGTTGTCCGTCGAGATGCAGCTGCTCCAGTGGTTGTTCCTCCGCGAGCTGCTCCTTCACGACGTGCTGTTCCATGGTCGCGTTATTCGCCTCTTCGGGTTGCTCTTCGATCTCTTCGGCTACGCTGCCGCTGCAGCTAGCGCTACCAGTGCCGCTTTCATTCCACACGTTGTTGGAAGCTTCCGCTGTCACTATCGTGCCGTTCTGCTCCTCCACTATCGTGACCGGTTCTGTACTTTGATTAGTCTATAAGTAAATAATTAAATAATAATTAATTAGATATATTATTATTATAATTGTTTGGAATTAATACAAAACAAGTTTAGTTTTTCCTACGCATCTCAGAATCTCAATATTATTTTACAGTAACAACCAAACAATCTAAAATACTCTTAATAGATTACCCAATTATAGATAATATTTGCATTTCTCTGAAATTTATGCGGATTTATTTCAATCGAGCATTTAATGGAGATATACAAGTGAGATTTCGGGCTATTACCTGATAGTCCATTAAACAATATGGTTGATTGGCAAGTTTAGGCACGAAGGCAGGATTAATCCATTCAATCGGTCTTAGAGGAACCGGGCCGCAGGGTACAGTTGCTAGAACGCTTGGTCCAACTTGAGCAGGTACTGGTGCAGGTCCGACCAACATCACAGGATATTCGTAATAGTAGCCGCTCGCATGATCGTAAAACGTTCCATATCCTAGTTGCGCTCCTGGCTCTACCACGGGCGGATATTCTGCCGTTCCGCTGTCCCTATCCAATAGTTGCTGGTCCTCTGTAGTTTCACTACCGTCTGCAAGGATATTATCGTTTAAACGTCTCTCTAATATTCGTTTATCGGCAGACTAAACATATTAGCGAAAGGATGATAAAAACTTTCTCCTAAGCAGTGCCGTTGTAGAAAAGACGAAAGATGCAAGCTTTTCTTGAATAGATATAGAGTAAAATGCGAGTAGACGCTCAGACATTAGAATTCATGTTTCAACGATAAAATTTCAAGATATCAGAATTAAACGTACAACATACGATAATGGCAACTTATAAAATTGGAATATTATTTATTAGAAATATCTTATTAGAATATATTTTAACTTGACTCGCTAATTGGTGGAAAAAAAAAACAAATTTGCTGGAGTTTTAGCATGCGCTTTTTGCTCGCTGTTGGCGCATATAGCGTTTAGCAGTACGTTTATGCTACAATCACCACCTGCGGTGGAATGTGACGCCGATTGACTCTCCGTGGTCGACGGCGTAGCGCTAGTGCTCGCGTTTCCAGTCCAGGGCTTCTTGCGCGACAGGTAGCCCTTCTTGAAGAGAACATCCTGCCGCGGCGTCGTGATCCTCGTGTACTCTTCCTCGTTGAAAATGATCTTGGGCTGCGACGGCGAGCCCGCGCTCTCGTCCCTGTGCGATCTCGAGCCGCTGCTGGCGTAGCCGCTCGTACTTCCGCCGCTGGTGCTGGTGCCAGCCCGACGTGGCTTGTAACCGCTCTGTTGTCCATTCCGTTCGAAGTGTGTGTGCGCGTTCGTCTCCTTCTCCTGGCTCTTCACATAGTCCTTTCGCAAACCCTCCTCCTCATCCTCTTCACCGGGTGGAGCTGTCGAATCGAGAACAACGTGATTAGTGCTGAGACTTACTAATTGCGTGTTGTAGTCTTTAATTAAACTCGAGTGAAATATAACAAATGAAATTGTATGAAATACAAATTTCGCGATAATGAATTAGTGTACGCAGAATATCCGAGATTTTTAATAATTCGAATTTTAAAATACTCAAAAGGATATTTTAAAAATACCTAAATAACATTTTGTAGACGTTTCTTTAGACTTTTTTTTACAATTGGCATCGCGTTTAGTCATATATGTACATTCGAATTTTTATATCAAGATATAGGCTATATAACATTACAAATATCAAGTGGATTCGATTTCTAGGAAATCGATGCGCCGCCTGCATACGTACGTAAATTTAATTGAGCAAAAAGTGAGCAATTAATGAACACGTAATTGCCAGACTGTCAGTCGCGTTTAATAACGAGAGAAAATGTTAGACATTTCCGTGACATCTGGAATGACCACTTCGCACGTTGTGTTTAACGCAGGAACCATATCCTTCCAAATGTAATTCGCATAAAATTGATCGTATCACGCAGGAAGTGTTTATGGAATTGATCGCTGTGCACACAACTATAAGAGAGCTTCATTCAGAAAAACGGAGCTATTAATTCATACGCAAAACGTGTTATTACTGTTCGTGTAAAACATATTAATTCGTGCACGAGTTAATATGTTTTACGTCCGTCTCATTTAGAATTTTATGCAAATACAATATTTTAACATATACAATATTAATAAAACCGGACAGAAAACCTAGAAAAATTGCAATTCAAAATTGCAGCGGAATTAGTTCGCATTTTATGGTTTCGAGACTATCTTAAAGAGTGTTTAAATTATTCAACTGATGGCCGACAAGCGAATAAATTATTTAAATCACATACGATAAGAAAAACTTTGCACCATTTTCTTTCACCTGCCGCTATAATTCTCTGCTTAAAAATCTCAACGTTCTTTATATATATATATATATATATATATATATAGACTCTCTCTACATATTGGCTTAATATATTATACAACAAGCTGTGTTCTCCACGTGTAGCTATTAAGGTGGTGTTTCCGTACCATCTTGGTACCTCGCTAAGAGTAGCACATGATTCGAGGAGCCGATCACGCGGGTGACCTTCTTCTGTCGACGCCACTGCATCGCACCCTTCCTCCACCTGATGTTATCTTTCCTTCAGGATTGTCCTGACTGATCGGCGAACAAAACCGCTCTCCGAGGAGACCGGTCGATTCGATCCAAACGTTGTTTGGCGCTCGACGTAGACCGAGAGATCGGTTCAGAGACGTTCACCGCGGCCACTGATGAAGGACGAGGGGATGGCGGTAACGAGCAATATGTGAATACAGGATTAATGCACCGCACACGATTCCCCGAGAACGACTGCGATCGGTACGGGGAAGGGGGTGATGGTGCACGCGCCGAACGAGACGAGGAGCGAAGAGTCCGCGAGGGATGTATTTGCGCGTATGGTAGCCGGGAGGACGCGTTGCCCATTGGCTGCCTCCACCGGTACCAGAATAGCATCGGAATTAGAATAGAAAACGGGCTACCAAGGAGGCTACCGAACTGTCGGCGACTGATGTCTCCGTAGAGACGAGTGAAGAATCGCCTCGACGCTTGACTCCTTCACCTTCGGCTGACCGTTCGATTAATTCTTTACTGAACCGAATCGATATTGTAGACTAAGACATATTTCCATCAATGTAAATTTATTTTAATTTCGCTTAACTTACTTTTTATCTTTTATTTAGTTCTAAGACTTATTGTTAGAAAAAGATTTTAAGTTAAACCGAGATTAAAATTAATCTACGTTGGTAGATAATGGATACAATTCCTACAGACATTGACCGAAGAATTTATGAAAGTAAATAAAACAGTAAATAGTTGAATAATATAATGGCAATGTAAATAATTCAGATGATAGGCCAGATGTTACACATTTTATTTCGGTAGAATGATGACAATTTTATTAGATCCGGGCAGACGGTTTGCCGCTTAATTAAAACTGACTTGAATCTTTTAAAAGAGATAGAGAGTGCTTTTTTAAAACAAAAAAATTTGTTGAAAAACTAATAATGATTATTTTAATAAATAAGAATTATTTCGAAATTGCATAAAAGTTTCAGCTTTATTTTTATAACATATATTACAACTTCTGACAAATAAAAGGTAGATTGAGGTAACAAGTATACTTCATTCAATGGTGGTTTAATAAGTTGTGCATAATTTTATTGCGGAGTATACGGCTCGTAAACTGGATTAGAATCATTGTCGACAAACATAAAATTTCAAACGTTTCTCGCTTTGACGTTTACTGCATTATAAAAGTCGGAAGACAAATAACAATACTCGCTATAAACCTGCCAGATGATTTTCTAAGAAAACTTTCTAAGATTGAGATAGCAACGAATTTTTTTTTGTTCAAGCAGGAGTGCGAACGCTCACTGAGAGCAATTATAGTAAGATCACTAAATGAAGTGCTAATTTTTGCCGGTGAAGAGCAATATTGAAAGGAAATTAGTGTGTCAGAAGGCAGGCACATTTGCAGCATGTCGGTTTCGTCCAATTATTATTATATCATTATTAATAGTAATATTATTATTATTATTACATCATTGGATTTAAAACATCTTTATCTTTTATCTCATCTCTCTTTTCCGCTATCTTTTCCTATTAATATGTTACTTTTTTTAGGTTCTTCGAGTGCGGAAACGTCATATTCGTGATACTATCAACTGAAAAATAACATTTTTTAAAACTTGAATGTAATTAATGCGCGCAGGGAAAAATGGAAAATAAAAAAAGAGAACGAGCGAATCTCATACTTGTCTGCAACGCGAATTATTTTTGAAACGTAACGCCGAGTCTCGTCCCAACGTGCATACATAACATACGACATATCGCATTCTCGTTCCAGATTCCGTCCTGGCTTACGTTTCAAGCGAACCGTGCGTTAAAACGTCTAGATATCGCGCGGGCGTATTAATATCTAGATGATACGTTTCATTGATCGTGTGCAAGCGAACTAGTGCTCTCCGCGTATACATCGAGTGCATATCCTCCGTACTCGAGTATCCGAGTACCCGTCGTCCGTTACCCAGAATCCGCGCGATTGATACCAAAAATATCTACAGAACACCTGGCGTCTCAGGATAAGCTGATAAGTAGAATCGCGTTCGTTGTATTTGCATCCTGCAAACATACCCGACCCGCAATATTAGTACATTCGCGCCGTACCAGATCGTCGTACATTACGAAAAATCGTCCTTGATGTCGAAAATAATTTTTCCTTGAAATCTGTTTTGCTGCACGAACGTGCCTTATATGTCATATAATGCTGCACTTATAATGTAATTTAAAGAAGTTCGCCGCCTTATATTCGCGTTTCATGTGTTACAAAAAAATTTGTAAAAAAAGGAATCGACGTTCTACGGCTAGCAGTTTTATAGCCTAAAGGCTAAAAAAACGTAGAAACAAAGTATCAGTAATTGTGAATAAATATATTACGTATAGAGGAAATATTTTCCTACAAAAGATATTCTTACGCGAAAGATTCTTAATGAAATTATAAATTCTACAACAATTTATAATGAGTTATAAATAAATTCGGTTCGCGGAGTCGATCTTTATTTAGCAACAAAATTTCAAGTATCATCATTTAATGTTTTCTAATTTTGATATCGTATTTTTATGTAATCGAATTCCAAATTAAAAATTAATAAAGTCTTGAAATTGACTGAGGAATTATTCACGTGTTTTTTTTTTAATTTATATTACAGGTCGCTTACTTTCAATTGTTCATTGATGAAAATTACAGGTATCAACCTTTTCGCAATCAACTGTTTTCCATATTAATAAGGAATTTTCTACATAATTTATCTAGAAAATTTAGATATATTAAAACATTTATATCCATCAGTAGAGATAAAATATTTTGTATAAATGCATTGTTTCTGTGATAATTTTTTAATTTTTCTTTCTTATCCACATGAAAGAATATTTATTCACTCTAATGTGTATTCGAAGAGCGGAGCGAAGAGTATCATAGACGGCCGGGCAGCGAGAAATTACGTAATCTTACGAGTCATATGGCGATGAGTACTAGAAACAATTCTTTTCTTCGGGAAAAACTTCGCTTTACGATTTCAGGATCGTGAAATCTCCCCGCGCATGATCCTCTACTTTGAGATAAATCGTCGGAACGATACTTTCGCTCGTGGAATTTTTCATTAAGGACAATTTTCTATCAAAGACAAAGGCAAAGCGGAGAAGATCGCCACGCCCGCCGTGCTTTCGGGAACCACGTTTCACGTATTTTCAGTCAATGCGAGACCCGGTCGAAGTCGGAAACGGAGTCTTCGCGAACGGACGGCAAATCCGCCGGCTTCGGGGACGTTGCTCGTTTTCGCGGCGTCGTCGTCGCCGGATGGCAATCGAACTTGGGATTCCCCTCGCCGTCCGTGGACACGCACGAATAATGCATACCGGTCGCGCACTATTTCTGTCAGGACGAGGAGTCGCGGAATTCTCTAAGATCGTCCCGGCGGCACTGCACTGGCGCGACCGTCTCGGCATGCACCGCGCCACGATGCTCGTCGCTTCGATTTTCCGCGGTCGTCTGCGACTGTGCAACGCGAACGATTTTGTGCCATCATGTGCTTCCCGTCCATGAGCGAAGAAGGTTCGCGAGTCCGTTCTTTCCTGTTCCTCGGCTATTTTAGAAGCAATTTCGATCTCTTCAGCCCTTTAACCACTTCCCTTGCACGAGCATGCTCGGATATTATGTCTTCGATATAGTGCACCAAGTATATTAGAAAACATTAGCAGTCTAATAAGTAAAGAAATATGTATGAGGAAGAAAAATGCCATACAAATGCATATACATTTTACTTTGTTGTTATAAATTTAAAACCAAATAAAGTAAAAGAAACTTAACTACTTTTTCACTTTATAATCATTTTTCTGCAAAGATACTCGGGAAAACATGATAAATTATTTAGGGATAAATTAGAGGGGAGAGAGTTCCTAAGAGTATTTGTATTTTCGGATTTGCCAAACAATTTTTCTATATGTAATTGCGCGAATTAATAATAAATCTATTCATTCATTAACTGATGGTCTCCTCATTCAAAAAAATATCGAAAATCTAGTTATTGTAGGTATTGTAAAAATAATTATCTTCTTATAGATATTATTTTTTGTATTCATCACATATTTTTGCGAGATTAAAGATCTGCAAAAAAAAGAAAAGATAATAGATCTTCCGAAAAGATAATTTATTTTCTTCTAACGATCTGGATAATTTGGTGAGATGTCCTGTAAATCTACTTTAATGAATTGATTCTTGTAATTGCAGTACCTACATAGAACAAGAGAATTCAGCGTAAGAGAAAATGAGCGTTGATTTACGATTTGACGAAAGCCGGCGTCTGTCGTTTCAACGAGGCAGGTCGAGGCTTCGGGGATGACGAAACGGCGAGCGCACTTTGCTCACCGTCCTCGTGGCAGGTTGACGTCTAAGACGATGTCTCACGAATAGTCGAAGTATAATGATTTGGAACGTTGGACTGTTATAGAACGGCCTAGGCACATTGTCAAAAACATAGGCCCAATGTTCTCTCTCTCTCTCTCTCTCTTCCTCCGCGCAATTTGATCTTTTACCGATCTACTTTCCAACAGGATCGGTTACTGAAAAGCGGCTACACCTTCGACTGCAACGGGAATAACATATGCATGATCTGATGATTTAACCAGTTATCGCATCTCGAGGTGCGAGACGCGAGCAAAGTTCTTCGAACCGGTATAGGCTTTGTCTTGGACTTTGCGACTTATTATTAAAAATGAGTCATTACGTTTCTTGCGATATTTTTCTCCTAATATAAAACACATATTCAATTAAATATTGTCGCTAATTACTGCACGATTAATAAGCGATTTTTAAGCAAAGAATAGTATACACGGAGAGAATTTTTTGTTATATTTTATCGCTAAATTCATTACAAATTTGGGACAACTTGGCAACCAATTAAATATTATCGGACTTGGCAATCAATCAAATATTATCGGTATATAACGAGGACTTTTTTGAAATATACAAAAGACATTTTATAAACAACGTAATAAAAATTATCAAGCAGATTAATAATTTTTGAAAAATTATTGAAATTTTACTACATATTTTAGTAAAATTAATCAAATATATTTTATATTTTATTGTAATAGATATTAATATTTTTTATTATAATAGATATTAATCAGAATAGCTCGCATAAAATTCTTCGTGATACATGTTGTCCCACGACTATTATGATTTTTAGAGTAAATTCTAAGAGAAAATTCTCTCTGTGTATTAGCACACAATCATTTTTGTAAAAAATGTTGAATCGCCGAGTTGCCGTGATTATAAAAAATCCAGTTGCTATAAATAAACCGCGGTTACAGCATTTATTATTACATGAATATGTATGTGCATAAAATAAAGTAGATATACGGAGCTATTAATTAAATAAAAAAGCAACATGAAATAATAATGTATTGACACTGATACTCAATGACGTAGCGTAGTTTTAAGACCAAAGATATAACACAGGCCTAGAATGTTTTTTAAGGCCTTGTAACTTGATCTTTAATTCTTGAACATGTGGTAAGGCACAAAAAATATGTTGTGACAATCTCTGGTAATACTTACTAAACACGTTGAAAGTTTCAGATTCTTGTATGGTTTTTCTTCTCTTTCTTAGGAGATATATGATTAGTTAGAGAAATGTGATACGTTTCTGGCGCAAAGAACCATTACCCTCTTAAAGAAATCAATATGAGAAAATGGTCCCCTCCCCCGCTACTTAGATATCTATTATAAATATATTAATCTATTTTTCTTTCCGTTAATTGAAATTTTGTTTATCAACTACCCAAAATAGACCAAGCACTACTAAATAAATTCCAACGTTTATAATAAAGAGGTTAATAGAATAGAGAAGAGTAAGGGCAACTTATGAGAAACATCTAGATATGAAAGATATGTTAATCGATTTTTCAAACTACCGTTTTTCAATTTGGAACAAATAACTTATGTATTGCCAAAAATTAAATTCTTCATTTAAAAGATGCATGTTACTTATTTAGTACGACAGTATGTATAGAATATTACAACTTGTTTCAACGAGTTTAATACCCGGTACTATTGATATTCGAGACTGTATCTAAAAAAAGCAATTAGTATAAAAGTGCAGGTGATTAATTGAACTTTAAGATTGATAACGTTTGGATCTTAAGGTAATCTTAGAAGTGATGTAACATGACATAAGAAGATTACTTGCACTTGCTGGCAAGCTGATTTTTATGACCGTTGTAAAACTAAAAGTAGTTATAATATAACTTCCTCGAATGTCATGTTATACGAACGTGCTTGACGAAAATATTAACACTGAGAAATCAGCTTAGAAACTATACACTTGTCCTTCTGTCATGCTTACGTAAGATGCATTACGTGAATAACTTAGTATGTTGCATTAACGATAAAACATGATTTTAATACGAGACATGAAATTTAGAAGAACTAAATTTCTTCAAGCACAAGTTTCTAATTATGGAGGAATAAATAAATAGCATCGAGCGATTTATCTATTTCTGTCTCTTATCTTATTTCTATCTCGGTAATAAATATTTCGCGAAAACGAGAATATCTTCAAATTGCTGCTCAATCCTTTTCGCGCAAAGATCGGTCAAGGGATACTTTCCTCCTTCAAGCTATGTACATTATACATTATATGATACGTACAGAGAGCACGTATATTTCTGATAAGCGAATACCAGATTAAGTGTCAAGTTCACAAACTGGTATGACATGGTACACGATAGCCAACGAATATGTCGTATCACTTCAACTGTACTACGTACTATCGATCAATATGCGTGACAATGAAAGTATTATGTAACTCTTGGGTCGACACCTTATCGGAATTAATACGCATGCCAACTTAGCTCGTACTCGAAAACAGACGAGTAATTCAGAAATGTATGTGTGTGTGTGTGTGTGTGTGTGTGTCAAATACACTCAATGAATCGTATGCAGTCCACAACCATAATCGTATGAGGCGGAACCCCCATTTATTGCCAATTGTATTGTATCGCGTAAAACGTGCGCTAATAATTAATTCCGTGCAGAGTTTCTGCAACGGTTGTAAAGATATCGATCTTAACTACCCTGTTGCCGGAAACTTGACGTGATCAATTGTGGACGAGAAAAGTTTTCCCAGCCGGATGAGAATATCGCTCGTCGAAAATTTCAACCGCTCGAGTCAGATCGATTGATGGATGAAAGAGGTATCGCAAAAAATTGGATAATTTTTTTAACACTTATGTGCTACGCGGCTAAGACTCTGTGATTTATTCCTTGAAATATTTTTTCGCAAGAAAAATGTTTCTCTCCAAATTGTGTAGCAGAAAACGTTCCTCTCTCCAACTTTCTTTCCACAATTTTAGAAACGTTGTGCATATCAGGAACTACAGAATTGTATCAGCAATACTAGAATTGGCAAATAGTCCAAAAGTTCTTTGACCTTTCAAGGCACAAGATCATAAATTTACGGGAAAAGAGTGCAGACTAAAACAAACGTTTGTGCCAGGAGCGTTAAATTGCCGATATCGCCCTAAGTTTGACGCTTAAAAGACCGTAAAACAACTATTCTGAAGCAAAATAGGTGTGACGAACGAAGACCATAAATGAGGCGGACGACGGTATCGATACGTATAAATAGCGTGTAAGGTCCAAATGTGTTCTGCGGAACACCGCGCGCGTGAACGTGACACGCGCTATTCTCTTAGTGCAAGTCTATTATTAACAATCCTAGACGCTGTATCCTCAGCAATTTCGCGAGTTCGGTAATGAACGCTCTTGGCTGTCGCGGGTGTCGAGACGGTGCGTCGCAAGACTTATCGTAAATTTTATGACAGATTTCTAAGACTGTTCTGGCAAAGGTCTATTATTAACATTTCCAGACGCTGCAGCATCTTTAGCTATATATTTAACGAGCAACGAATACCCATGTCAATATACAGCATGTCGCAGACCGACTCGCTGTAAATTTTGTAAGAGACTTTATAACCGGCTAAGAGTTGACTTTTTAAAAAGTTTTGAAAGACGAGCAAAGTTTTCAATTATAAAAATTAAAATTCAAGCATTGTTATTAATTCACTAATTGATTAGTTATGAATAATGTTTGAGGCAGCCTTCATATATTTCCCGTCTCTACGACTTTATTCTATTTTATATAACTCAGTTCTTCTTCGGAAATAATTTGCTGCTTAATTACCATGATGACTACAGTTGTTGATATAAAAACTCATCCTTTCTAAGAGACATGAAATAAACAGGAAGAATTAATTAGCAAGAAAAAAAGGAAAGAAATATTTTTTATTTTCAAAATGCGTTCGATGTAGAATCGCGGATTCTTGATGGACATGGAGAACGATAGACACGGGGACACAACCTGTGTGCTGATAGAACGCGATACTTCAGGCTTGAGAGGAGATTCGGCCGGTTGTGC